TCTTTTATGCTTTCCCATTTCTAATTTTTAATAATAACTTTATTAAGATAAAGTTTATGTAATATAAAATAGACCCTTTTAAAGTATATATTTCAGTGCTTTATGGTATATTCACAGAATTTTGTGATCATCATTAGTATCTAATTTTAGAATATTTTCATCATCCCCAAAGAATCGTCCTACCCATTAATAGTCACTCTCCATTCTCTCAGCTCCGCTCAGCCCCTGACCTCTACTTTTTGTCTCTGTGTATTTGCCTACTCAGTACCTTTCTTATAAATGAAATGATACAGTTCCATTGCTTTTTGGATAAAGGCAAAACTCCTTAACTTTGGCTCTAAAACTGTACAAAGCCTGGCCCCTAATTCTTCTCAGGTGTCATCTCAAATTATGCTCTTCTGTAGTGTCTGGATTCCCTTCACATTGGGCTTCTTCCCTCACTCCCCACTTTCCAGGCTTCCTCTGAGTAACAGCCTTTGCACGTGTTGTTTCCTCTCTCCCTCTCTTATCATCTAGTAAACTCTGCCTCATTGTTCAGCCAAAGCCTAAGTGTCCTGTTTTCAGAATAGCCTCCCCTAACTCCTCTGAGTGTTTCCAATCTTCCAAGTACAGGATCTGATAGTACCGAGTACTTCTACTGTGTAGCATTGCCAGAACTGTAATATCCATTTGCTTTTTGAATTATTCAAACAATGTCTTTTTCCTCTGGTCCAAGCTCCATGAGATCAGGGACCATGTCGTTTTTGTACAGCATTGTAGCCCTAGAGTCTCACAAGTGGTAGTAGAAGCCGATTAACGTTTACTTAATAAATCACGTAAGTTTGGAATAAAAAGATTTACAGAAAATAGGTACTGACATTGGGCTGATTTTAGAAAGAAGACGAAAATACAACAAGCACAGTATTTAGTAGTGGGAGGATACAGCAAATGTTAATGGGGTTAATATTTCTGGCATCCTGGGATATACTGTAGCTTATATTTCTGTACCTTCTTGCCTCTCCTTCCTCATCTATAAAATGAAGATTACATTTGCCTTTTTAAGTCCCAGACTAATTAAAAGACTCAATTAGTAATGTATTTGAAGAAGGTTTTCAAACAAGTTATTAGAAAGTGTTCTATTGGCCAGGCGTGGTGGCTCATGCCTGCAATCCCAGCACTTTGGGAGGCTGAGGCGGGTGGATCATGAGGTCAGGAGTTTGAGACCATCCTGGCCAACATGGTGAAACCCTGTCTCTACTAAAAATACAAAAATTAGCCAGGCATGGTAGTGCATGCCTGTAGTACAGCTACTCGGGAGGCTGAGGCAGGAGGATTGGTTGAAACTGGAAGGCAGAGGTTGCAGTGAGCTGAGATCATGCAACTGTTTGCCATTGAACTCCAGGCTGGGTGAAATAGCAAAACTCCATCTGAAAAAAACAAAAAAGAAAGTTTTCTATTAAATCATGAAGAAATCTATATTAAATAAACTGATTATAGTGTATAAAACCAGATTATGTGAAAAAATTGGAAGAATGACAAAAATTGCCTCATTCTTGTCTGTAACATACATATTTGTTAGTTATGAAGATTAAATCTCTTTTTATGATTGAATGTGAAAGGCACTTTGCAGTTTTATCAAAAAGAGGAGGAGTGATTTGATGTAAGGCAAGAAAGATGACATCTGTGACAACAGGGTTAGGTAGTAGCCAAAACAATGAATCCTGGCAGAACTCCTTGAGAACATAGATATGATGAACCAAGAAGATGTTCAAGGTGAGTTTGTTGAGTTGGAGTAATGTAAAGTTTATTTAGGAAGAAAAAAGCAAGTGATGTCTATGGAAATGGGTGTTGCATTTGAAAATAACCATATTTTAGTTTCACATAGTTGATTAAGTAAATTATACCACTTTAATTCAATATTTCTCTGAGTTCTATGTATTTACTCATCAGTGGGTCATGTGGGATATTATGTGGAGACCAATCTCCTTAACACTAGAGAGGAGGAAGATTGGCTTTAACACTAAATACAGTGCCTGTATATAAGTGTGTTACATACATTTATGTGTGACTTCTATAGGCTTAGCATTTGATTTGGTTATATATGCCAAGGAGAAAAAGATCATTTATGAATGCTTAAATTCCTAATATGACCAAATTTTAGGAGAGATAAATCATCAGCCATCATTGTGTTACAATCCATGGAAGGTATGGCTTTTTATGGACTCACAGCTGGTTAGAGGCAGGCGCAGACCTACAGCACAGGTATGGGATTTCCAATCATTGTTTTTTACTACTCACTTTCTTCATTCCTAAATGAAGGAGATTTTCAGCAAACAGAAGAAAAATGGTGGAATTGCAGCAAGTAAATATTCTTGGTGGATGAGGAAGATAAGTTATCTTATTGGTTCCATTCCATTTGCAACTATCTCCATTTTTAGCTGTATTACCAGAGGTTGACTTGTTTACATTCTCACCTGCAGACCAGTGTTTTAAAAGGGCGCACAATCTGGTTCCAGCAGAATTACCCTTTCAGTATAGGGCTACCATGAGTCAGTTGACCATGTTAACCAGGAAAGATTTGGGATAAAGCGTTGGACAATATATAAGAGTCTTTGGCAACCTTGTTCTTCTTTGTTTTAATTCCAGTAAATGTCAACATGTATTAGCTAAAGAACCAAACAAAATATTAAGAGTGTACTGATCTAATGGTAACTGAGGAATAGATTATACTGTTCAAGGACAGTCTATATACCAGGTTGTAAATATTTGATCAGCTGTTGAACCATGTTAGGAGGAACTTTTTTAAAAAATCAATCATCCAGACACTATATAGTTTCTCTATTATTTTGATGCTTACTTATATGTGATTACAGTCAATATACCAGGTTGTAAATATTTGATCAGCTGTTGAACCATGTTAGGAGGAACTTTTTAAAAAAATCAATCATCCAGACACTATATAGTTTCTCTATTATTTTGATGTTTACTTATATGTGATTTAGTGACAAGTGCCTTTCCTATACATTTAATGCCTGCAGTAGATGTCTTTATACATATGCTTATTATAGAATGAGGACTGTAAGAATCTAGCCTTTGTGAAGGGATGAAACTGAAGATCCATCCATGTTTGAGGCGACGAATATTCCAGTTACCCTGATTTGATCATTACTTCTTGTATACATATTAAAATATCACATATTCCCCACAAATATGTACAACTATGATATATCTATAAAAAAGTTTCAGTCAAAAAAAGAAATAGAGTTTAAAAAATAAATTTCGAAAAATTTTGACTTTATGCAAACCCCTTGATAGCTGCAGAATGAGGGAAGCATTCAGAAGAGGATAATAGGAGAAGAGAAGTGGTATTGCAGGGGTACACCTAAGATATGAAGGATAGAGATGATGGTAGTGTGAAATTGTCTTGGCGTTTGTATTCCCATGGGCTATATTTTTAAAAGTAATATAATTGTTTTTTTGAATTTTAAATGTCAATATTTATATTGCCCCAGAAATTGTATCTTTGGTAACCATTTAAACTCAATATAGAAAAAATCAGAAGTCAATCAAGTGTTTGAAGACGTACAAAATTGTTCAGAATTATTTGGAGTAATAAGGCAAATAAGCATGAAAATCATTTTAACAGTTAACCTTTAATTTTTTTTCCAGCTTTGAAATCATGTGATTCAAGACACCCATGTTAGCATTTATTTAAAAATACATAAAGAAATTCTTAGGAGTTGGGAAATTTGTCTTTGTTTTCTTCTTTGAGCTCATATTTCCATATTTCTCTTGTAAACTTTTACCCTAATGCAATATACTTTTATATTTCTGAAAGTATTTTATTGGTCATCTATCATATATCTCTGCAACAAAAGTATATGTATAAGTTAAAATTTAATTATTTTTAGTTTTCTGACAATAAGAATTTAATTTCTTCCATATTTAGTGTTATGAAAATTATTAGTAGTACATAATTGATCAAAACAACATAATATAAATTTTGATAAATACTTATTAAAGGTAAAAAGTAAGCCATACTGAAAATGAATCCCTTAATAAAAAGAATAGCCTATTCCTGGACAAATATTAATTATTATCAGGTTGAGGTGAGATTCAAAATCAATTATATTCATATTTTTATATTTTATATATATGTAAGCACTGAGAAAGCTTGTTATCATAAATAAGTAGATAGAAATGGAAGGAATTTTAGTAGAACAATGTCATTCAATTATTTGAACTCCTTCCAAGTTATGTGCCAAAAATCCTTCTAGTGATATATCATCAAAAATATTTTAATTATCTATCAGCTGACAATTCAATTAAGTTCCCTTCCATTTGGATCCTGATTTGCGAAATGATTTGTCACCCTGTTATTAGGGTTATTTTCTTGCTCAATTTATAGAAAGTATATTAAAAAGGCTTTGTTGAGATGTATTCAATAACTTTTATTAATTTTGGTACACATCTACTAATAAGTGCAATAGTTTTGATTAAATGCTTTCTTTTCATGCACTTTAAATAAACTATTGTCAAAATCTCAGGACTACGGGATTAATTTATGGAAAATATTTATCATTTACCTATTTGGCAAAGCCCATCATCATTTCAAACCAATCAGCCAAACAGATTTACTGTCTATCAGAAAAAAATCTGACTTCATTTTTTAATTCAAATACAGGTAGGATTAATACACATCTTCATGAAGCCCTCTCACATGAGAATTCTAAGATAGACAGAGCCCTGATAAGACTTTATTGGTAGGATGAAATAAAGCAATTTTTGAGTTGTATAAAAGATAAGCATCTTGGGTGAACATGTCTTAGGATGCATAAAACAAAAGTAAAGAGATATTAGTCCTAGTCAAGGATACCTCTAGATTTCATAGAAGCTGGGATCCCAAGGCTGACAAAAAAGAGATAGGCACATCATAAAACCAGATACTCTTAAAGGGAGATTAGGTCTTAGAAATAAGCATGTGACAATCTGAGAGTAAAATCACTAATTATTTGTGGCAGATGTCTGGAAGAACATCAAAACAGATGAAAGTGAGCAGAGAATTGTAAAAAAAAGACTGCTACAGAGACACAAGATGAACACGGAAGACACAAGCCCACTGTTTCACTATGTGCTGTATCACTTGGATGAAAGATACGACTCAATTTGACCTTTTTTCTTCCATATTCAAAAGCAGGAAAGTTACTTTTCCAGCTGAAAAAGTAGAATTAAAGTCTGAAATATGCTAATCTCTTTTACAAGAAATCATCTTAATTTTAATTAAATTATCCTATAGTTTACTGAAAGGATTTACAAACACAACTGCAGAATTTCCCTCAGTAATGTTTAAGAAATAATAGTGAATATGAATGGTACCACACTAAGAGACTGACAATTTTCTAAAAAATGTATCATGTCCTAAAAATTGGGTGTTGATATACTTGATGTTAATATTGCAAACTTTTTAGAACTAAAAACTATAATAGTTGACTTATGAACTCTTAAAAATTGTATCTTGTCTCTCTCTTTCTCTGTCTCTCAGATCAACCACAATCTCCAGATATAAAACACAGGGAACCAGGGAACCAGATACCAGCTCAAGGAAGGACGAGTTTTCTTAAAATTTACAGTGGCCCAAATTTGGACCATCAGTAACAACCGCATGTTCTCAATGTATGTAGTGGACTGAGGCCAAAGCAGAACCACCACCACAGTCTGAAGAGTCCTTTAAGAAATTCTCTTATTGGGCGGGGTTGGGATTAAGTGATCTCAAATTGCTGTTTTAATCCTTAGTTCCTAAAATTCTACACATCTGTCTTGGGTGAATGGAACAGACCAGCTTACAAAACACAGATCCATTTCACTGTCTTCTAGGTTTCACCCATTATTGGTATGAGATGGCATGAGGTCCAGAGGAGTGTGGAAGCTCATGTGAGCATCGTTACTGAGGGTAGAGGACTTGCTGTCTGCACACCCTGGGCTGTGTGGTTCTCAGAATGAGCCACCTGGAAGGTCGATCCAAGCACATGAAGATTGGATTTTCTGGTGTCAAGAGTATCCTCTTTACTTTGGGTCTCTGGCAGGCCCTTATTCCCTTTACGGATTTGGAGGTCAGGACTCTTTTGGAAGTGCCTGAATCATTGACAAAATCTATCCTTTTATTCTTGTTTTTGCTTGATGCTACTACGTCTGTCCCTGACTTCTGCTGAAAAGCTAGTTGTGCATTTCATTGATCATTCCTTGTGTAGAGACCTGTATTGGCTTTATTAACAATGTGTTTATGGCCTTTAGTTTCTTCCTTATGGGAAAGAGGAACTCCAACTTCTCTCAACATTTAAATATATGGACAATCTGCCGTATTCTCCCTCTCCTCCATGGTAAAAAAAAAAAAGGGTGTTGAAGGGTTTGTAGGAATTCATTAGTTTTCCACAATAAAAATTATTTGAAAATTGTAGGCCGTGATAGAAGCAGGTATGGAGTTCCTTACAAGATAACTCTAAGAGATGTGTGTGGGTGTGTGTGTGGGTATGTGTGTGTGTGTGTATGTTGAGATGCGTGGTTTCAGGCCTGCATTGAAGTTATATTTTTGTGTGTGCTACAGACATTACAGAGCAATCTCTTAGTTTCCTTTATTTACAAACCAGGAACTTCAGCTGTTTTATTAAAGACTGGATGTGAACGCTGAGGTGCTTTGCCAACACAGACATCAAAGGGACACAAGTGCACTTTTCCCATATGTTTTAGTTAGTTTTTCCCTGCATGTCTGATATCAGTCAGAGAGAGTGCTAGAATATAATACCTCACACCTTGAAGATTAAACACCTTCTCAGCTGGTATTTCTGTTTTGACTTCATTTGCTGCCACCTTATATCATAAGCACCTTGCACCATGTCATAGACACTCTTGGTTCGGTCTGTGCAATGAGATTGTGTTTTTCAAAAGCTTTTTTTTTTTCTGCAAGTAAGTAAACTCTGCCTGATCTTTGACGTGAGCTTAGTCACTGAATGAATAGCTTCGTTGGACAACGAGATAAGATTATAATAGAGTCTATAATAATGATGCCAATCACAGATGGCAGGAAGGGTGTTATTCTTAGACTGCTGTATTTGTAAATCTTGCTAGATTTCCCATGGCTTAATCTCAAAGTGCCACCTTGTCAGTGATCGAGGTTTATATTTTAAGTTCCCAAGAAAAATATTCCAGAAAGAGCATCCTACTCTTCCTTACTGTGTAATAAATAAGTTCCAGGAAGGTCTCACATCATCTCAGGAATTACCCAGGGGGCATTTTTACTTCTTCACCTGACCCTGTAACAGGCAGGCAGTTGTCACATTCACTTATACGTAAAATGATTCTTACTTGTATTGAAGGTTATGTATTTATTTGCTGTAGTTTTATTTTTACCTAAATTGGAAGCACATATTCTGTTGTGGGCCAGGGAGTTGGAGTATGGAAGCTCAGGGGTTAGGGGACAGGCCTATTAGGAGGAAGCAGCAAGTCTAAGGACCAACTAGAGGTGAGATATGAGAACTTAGACTTGGAGGTACGTATTAAAAGGACAAAAACAAAAAACAAAGTGTTTCTAAACATTCTTAACTTCTTGGATTTGGTATCTTCTTAAGGGCAAAACACTAAGGCATAGAAAAATCAGAATTCATGTTTCGTTTGTGTTATATCTTCAGAAAAGTTTTATGTTTTTATCTCAGAAAGTGGCTTCTCAAATTTTGGTTTTAAAATTTTCTGTCTACTTCCATGTCCCTTCTCTATACATCCCTGTGACTAAAAAGCAGAATATGTGCCACTGTGTAGCTAGAATAACAAAGGAACTGTGGAATGTTCCTCTGTAAAGAAATGGCCTATTTCAACCATGTTCCTATAGTCTATGGTCTGAGTGCAGTGTCCTCTCCAGATTCAGTGTTAAAATCCTAACCTTCAAAGTGATAGAAGTAGGTGGTGGGGCCTTTGGGAGGGATTAGGTCACGGGGGCAGAGCCCTCATGATTGGGATTAGTGCCTTAATAACAGAGGCCCAAGAGAGAACCCACTGCCCTTCCATTATGTGAACACACAGTGAGAAGTCACTGTCTATAAACCACAAAGCAGGCTCTCATTAGACAGAATCTGCTGGTGACTTGATCTTAGACTTCCCAGGTTCCAGAGCTATGAGAAATAAATTTCTGTTGTTTATAAGCTATTCAACTTATAGTATTTTGTTACAGCAGCGTGAGCAGACTAACACGCTACGTAAGAGCTGACTGTGAGAATGAGACTCTAAAAGCTAGGAATGGTAGCTTTATAAATTACCACTTAAATGAGTACTAGCATTTGAAAGGAAATTTTAATGAGGTGGTAAAGAAACTATCATCAAATTTAGACTTAGAACATCAGATTAGTTTGCTCAATCATTGCAGTTTAAAGATAAACAAAATAAGCCTCAGAGAAATTGCAAATTGTGTCACAAGTTTTGTTGAACGAGTAAAATCCTGGTCTCTTGAATGTCATTCCTGGGTTTAGTTGAGTACACTTGATATCTCCTTTAATGTAACTATTCATACCCAAATCTACCTATTTTGTAATAGATAAAAGATTTTTTTCAAACCAAAAAAATGCCTTTAATCACGTTGTTAGTTGTAATAAGGTAGCGACTAAAATCTAATATATGACTGTTTTCTCTATCAAAAAGAGTTCTGAAAGGTTAAACTCATATAAAAGAATAGCATATTATAAGATGTTTTATTTTGTGTTGTAATTTTTAATTGTAAAAACGTTCACGGCTATTCTCATGTATTTTTCATTAAAAAAACTTGCAAAGTAAGTGACTATTAGCTGAGTTTTACAGATAAGAATCCTGAAGGTCGAAATTTAAAAGATACATTTAAGATAATAGGACTAAGTCTCATACACAGGTCTTGGTCTTCTGACTCCAAATCCTATGTTTCTTTCATTATCTCATAGTTTTCTCTTTAACGGATAATTGACCACCCTCCTTTACGTCCCTTGGTTATCTCTTATATTGCATTTCATTTCAGGAAATAATAATGAGAATCTTAAAACCAAACAAGTTGTAGTAGGGAATTTCTAAAATAATCCTGCAACTGAGGAAACACATCTAGAAAGACTAATATGGGGAAGTGTACTGTTCTGGCAACTAGGAGGGACAGAGGCATTGAAATGCTGGAGTCAGCTCACACAGGCTCTCAAGAACTGACAAAATTTCAGCAATTTTACCATTAAACTTAAATTATATAAACAAATTGAACATTATGTTAAAACAAAGGTAATAAATACTCAAGACTTGTCCTTTTATACTACATGTTACTCTTATCTATGCTATTGGTGTTATTTACATCTATTGTGTCTGTATGTATTATACGTATGTCTTATAATGGTATGCTGCTCTTCTCAGTCTGGTGTGGGTAGTTTGAAATTGATCATGATGGAAATATTAATATTATAAAAGTCATGAATGCTATAAATTGTTTTCTTCATTATCTAGACTTTAAAATTATGGACAAAAATGAACAATATGGATTAATCTTAAAATTGTGTTGTGTTTGTAGCTGTTACATTGGAAGTAGCACATAAATGTAAGAAAATATTCTTCTAGTATTGGAAAACTCATATAATTTAGCAAAGTAGTTGCACACATCATCGAAAGCTGAGTGAAATCTGACATGTATCTTTGTTGTTTCATTGTAGTGTCTTTAATGTAAAATAAAATATCAAAAACATTGATATCAGAACTGTACTCATTTGTCAATGATATGAGTGACATTTTTTCTAATGAGATCATAATTAAGCATTTATAGACAGTCCGATTTAGTGGCCCTATGGTTGAGGATAGAATGAAAAACAAATTGATAGTGAAATCCACTGTCAATACACTATAAGAAACAGAAAGTCACACTGAAGTTAGTGGTATGGAATACACAGTGAAGATTATTGTATCTTAAATATTTTATCATTATTTTTCTAAATTTGGCACTACATATTCTTAAAGCAGTAATATTTATACAAAATGTTTTTTTCCCTTTAGAGAACCAGTTGAACCACTGGATAGGGAACATGCTGTGTTGGAAGATGAGAGCCTTTGTAGATGAGAGGATACCAGAAAATCCATGTATGTTCCTTTGTAATTCTCTTAGAACAGGAGTTCTGCATATGTATAATACTGGTTTTATGTAATATACTGCCGGTCTTTTCCTACATTGAATGGCGAGGGACCTTTTTCTACTTGTGGGGCCTCAGCTTCAGATGACAGAATGCATTTCACGTTATAAATAAGTCACCAACTAACACAGACAATTGGAGGACAAAAAAAAAAAAAAAAGAAAAACCTCTCATGAGTTGCAGATAAGCTTGGGGTCTTGGCCCCAATATTCTACCTCAACAATATATTTTCTTTCATTTTCTTAGTATTTAGTACATAGCTAGTACATTGATGCTACCTTCTAGAACTAAGCACCACAGCTCCGGTACATCTTTGGATTCACAGAGCTCCACTTCACTGATGTGACCTTTCTAGAATCAATCATAGTTAACCTGTATTTTATTCTATTTCCTTTGGGTTCTGTATTATATTAACATTACTGTAAGAGTGGTTGTCAAGGAGTTAATGCCATTTTTCTCTCCAGGTAATATACATTCACATTAAGATATTCTTATTCTCTGTTTGTGCTTTAACCACAACTGATAACTCAAGGGCTGGGATTCTAAGCATTGTGGCATAATGGTGGTGACGGTAAATATTTAATAAATAATTTTTGGTTGATTGATAGGATGCCCTTCTAGACTCTTTAATAATACCACTGCCAACTTCTCCTGTACTGTAGGCCAAATTAGTCATATGATTACCTCTCCCTTTTCTCAGCTTTGGAATTAAAATTAATTTATACAAAAGCCAAAATTGCAGATTGAGTGTCCATGAGGTTTCTGGTGAAGCTGTTTTGAGTTTTAGAGCTGCCTTCCTTTGCCATGCATATATGCCTCATTGATTTTTATTTGGTGTTTTGCTTATACTACAGTTAATCAAATTTAAGTTCCATTTGTAAAGGCCTTGATGAGACAGCAGAAATGCCAAAAAGGGAAAAGAAATCATGAGATCATGGTCTTTTGACTTCTAATTGAAGAGTGGAGGTTAGGTATCAATTGAATGAAGGGATATTTTGTAGTTCCAAGAAGCTTGCTAATGAAATAGCGGCATCTTATTGAGAATATATCTTTCCCTTTAAGCCTTCTATGACTACTAAAATGACTTAAATAGGAACATGTATGAAATGACTAACTAAATATGAGCATCTCAGAGAAAGGTGGGTTAAGTAAGGGAACTTTGTAGTCAGGGTGCCTGGCATCCAATCCTAGCTCTGCCTCATCCAGAAAATTTAAAAATCCGATATTATTTTTAGTGTACTCACTTTGTTGGGCTGTTTTAAGTATTAAATAAGATAATAAATATAAAAGGCTTCGCAAAATTCTCACTCACAGATTGTGATGGCAACACGTTGCCAAAAGTAGGATTTCTGTGATGCAGAATATCAACAAGGCAAGTTGGGCACCATTTTAAAGGTGGGGAATTTCTTAATTTTTAGGCTATAAAATGACATTCTTTGTAATTTTAAAAAATGATGGTATTTCATGAAAATATTTTAACCAACTGCAAACAGATTTAGCTATATTAAAAATGATTTGTTGAATTTTAAAGAATTTCTCAAATATTTTTATTGTATGGAACTTGTAAAGATGTGAAGTATTGAATTACAGTGAGAATTCTTTCATCTTTGTCATTAATAAAGTATGAGATGGAAATGTTGTGTTACAAGAGATCACTGAGATATCGGGACAGTGTATCATATCTCAGTGGAAGGTTCCGGTATAATAGTGCTGCAGTCAGTCACAGGACATGATTTCATTCCAAATCCAGCCTAAGAATTTCCATTTTATATCTGGGTGTTCTGTGAATTTACACTTTCATCTGATTAAATGTTAACAGTAGCTTATAGGAGTATTCTGTAGCTACTCCTGCAAGACTGATCTATCCTTTTTATTAGAAGTAATTTTCTATATTATCAAAAGATAATCATTCACTTAAACATCAAGTTTTCCAGAATTTACTTTTTAATCTTTGTCCTATTAACAAATTGTAAATGAGAGATGAATGCAAAGACTAATAATCAAGGCTCTCTTCTCTCATCTGGTGAGCCTCCCTTTCCCCGAGCCCCGCAGCAGGACAGTATCTTCTGTAATGTACTTCTTAGAAGTCTGCAGGGGTGTGCTGTTACACAGGATCATCTCGGAGGTCAAGCAATTATGAAAATGCTGCTTTTGGAGATTTATGCAGCACATTAGCATATTACAATCACTGAGGAGTCCTGCAATGTTTCTTTGGTCCAGTGTTTTCCTCTTTTATTGCATAATTTGTGTTTCATAAAACATGTTTTAGAAAACTTTTCTCTGGATTATAATTTTTTCATGCAGAAGCAAGAAAAAAAAACTAAAGTTACTTTTCACAAAGTTTTTAGAGTCAGTTTGGAATAAGAAGAATTGGGTTTGAGCCCTTGCTCTACAATTTTATAGCCAGGCAACATTGAATACATTATTTCATTTCTCCAAGTCTTGGTTTTCTTTTCTGTAAAAGCATGAAGTACCTAATAATTACCTACAGTTTTTATGAATATGTTGTCATGTAAGTTAACATAAGTGAAAATGATATATAAAAACAATGGATGATATTTACTGACTCAGATACTTCCCTCATAGATTTATTGGGCCTTATTTAATATGCATTCATTAATAAGCTAAGACCTTCAGCTTCTCAGTCCATGACAAATTGGAATTAGGAAAAACAGCCAGAAAGCTATTGGGCAGTTATTGAGCAGTGACAATGAGTGGTGAACCCAAAATAAAAAAGCAGAATGACTATTGATACATGGGATAATAGTCAATGGTTATAGTCCATATAGATATGGTTAAATGATTATTTAAAAGGGGATGGGGGAGCTGGGCACGGTGGCTCCTGCCCGTAATCTCAGCACTTTGGGAGGCTGAGGTGGGCAGGTCATTTCAGCTCAGGAGTTTGAGACCAGCCTGAGCAACATGGCAAGGCCCTATCTCTTAACAATAAATTAATATAAAATAAAAGGGGATAGGGTATAATATTTTAAGGAGAAAACCACAAATGTGGATCTCTTTGTTATCCATGTATGATATCTGCCTCTTGTACTGAGATCAGGACATACTTATAGTGAGATCTCTGTATCTTTCTGCTTAATACAATTTCCTGTATTAGTTGATTGTTAATTTATTTATCTGAAGTAACTCTTTCCCTGAAAGCCCTAGATTACTAATGTTGTGCTCTTTTATTTTTTAAAATTTTACTGTCAACTTAATGTCTGATTGTTTATCTAGATATCTATATATGTTATATGATGTATAACTATTTGCAATTAAAGTATAGAAATAATATTTATTCACATGGAATATATTTGTCATGGAATATATCTTATTGAGTTTAAAAAGTAGTTTACCAAATAATACAAAACAATGTTTGTTTAAACAAATGTATTCAAAGAAAAAATTCTGACAGAAAAGGAATTAACAAAAAAATTAGTGTGATGATTAATTTGGGTGGTGAGTTTATGGCTTGTTTTTATTTTATTGTATTTGCTCATCTCTATGTTTCAATTTTTCTACAATGAGCATTTCATATCAATATGGAGTATTCCACACCAACATAACCAAAAATAAAACAAAATCTTTATTCCGATATTTCTGATGAAAACGATTGAGCAGAACAAATGGGAGTTATCACATAAAAGTCACTCGGGAGCAATAGTGTGTGTCCTCTTGCTGCCTGGATGCCTCTCTAGCCCTCTGCCTACCTGGCTGCCCTGAGCATCACAGTATCTTTGAGGAGATGATGGACTATTGCACTTCAAATCAATCAAATTCTTACCTGGATGAATTTTCTAAAAGATGGGAACAAAAATCTGAACAAAAACGGGAACATTAATCTTCCCATCCCCACAGGACTCTTCTAGAAGTTTCCAACTCTTACATTAAGTAGTGGAACAAAATAAATAAAATAAAAAGAAAATAAGAAATAACCTTGTAAAAGCTTGGTTATTATAATAAACTTGTCAACAGTTTTGTAGACGTAGTCTTTCATCTGGGCTCTTCAAGCAAACGTAACTAAGCTTTTTAATGATTATTCTGTATCGATGTGGTACTATCAGTGACACTGATAGGGATATAAAGTCTATTTCTTATAGATAAATCTTGAAAAGTATAAGAAGGACTCATCAGATATTACCTGTGAGACACTCACACAGGTGAGAGCGTAACCCAGCAATATAATCCACCTGAGACGGCACTTAACTCCAGGTAAGAGATAAATGACATAACCAAGAATGCATATGGTTCTTGAGAAACTTTCATCATTCCCCTTTATTCATACTTTCTTTTGTCAGAGAAAACAAGATCACAGACTTCAAGTTTTTTTCTCATAGCTCCTATGGAGCACTCTGCAGTCAGCCATTGTGCTTATATTTAATGAGAAGGTGGAGGAAGACTCTTGGGTTTATATCATTATGAGATTATTAATTCCTTTAATATCCTTGTGATTTGCTGCACTTAGAAAATTGATAAATCATTTACGTTACACTGCTATGAAGCTTTAGGGGTAGTAGGCTAATTATTGGTCACATGTGTAGGATAGCTTATTAATAGACATAAAACCATGTAT